ATCACCTGCTCTTACTGCAAAAGGATTATAATTCTGCCCATGAGCACAGCTGGAAAGGATAAGGGTGCACAGACTGAGCAGAATCACACCAGCGCTCAGCAAGTGTTACACACTTTGAATTCAGCTATGATTTTCCTACACAGTGCCTTCTCAAGCACCTGCAGGTGCACAGCAGCACAAGATTTGCTTCCTGACAGCTGTGATCATTTGACTAAATTTCATTCCCTTTCCTATGAAGCTGTTCTCTGACAACATATGTTGCATCTGAGTGGCCAAGACCAAACCACTTGGTTCCTCTCAAAGTCAGAGATCCTTACTCTTACTCTTTATCTGGGTGCCACTAATGGCAAGGACAGCCACAGCCTCTGGCTCAGCTGCTTGCTAACACGTGCAAGGGCAGCGTCACAGCCCTGCAACTTCCTTCCCCTTCCTATTACACCCACTCCTGCTTTCTGGACTCTTATCTCAAACATATATCACATCCCTTCACTCAGCAGGTCATTCCCACACCTCTGCAGATGAGTTTGGGTGTTTCTCCTGCCCTTGGCCCTTCCTGCCAGGCCACTCCCACAAAACCCCTTCAGTCCTGTCCCAAAAACCACCTGAAGTACATTTGCCCAAGTCTGGGGAGTTACATGCCCCACTCCTGCCACCTTCAAGGTAGTGGCTGCCAACAAACAGAAAATTACGGTGGTGCAGAGAGAAGCAAAGGCAAAACCCTAAAGCATTAAACAGATTATCCTGACACACAAGCTTCTCGAACAGGGGAGGGATACAAAATTCCTGACATTCTCAGCTGGCAAAGAGCAAATGGGAAAAATGTTATGCATGAAAGGCACTTTCAGATACCATTTAGCATTTTAAAACCTTGAGTAGTTTTCCTTACATGATTAAAGGCTGAAATTCCAGCTCTCGGGATTTGCAAGCTGAGTAAATCAGGAAAGATCTGTCTCTGATCAACAGGTATTTTTCGCTAGTTAAACTGAAGATTAAATACACATCTATATATAAAAGAGTGAGCATCTTTTTCCAATGCCTAAGAATTCTTCAACTGAAGAAGGAAAAATCTCAACATTTTAGGTTAACCTTTTAAAGGTATTTTAAATAGGCAGAAAACAAACCTTTGCAACATCACAGAAGCGACCTGTGCTTAGCCATTCTGAAGTTTACAGTCATTAAACAAAGGATGCAAAAGACAAGACACCAAAACCATGACTCAACACCAAGCTACAAGTGCTGCAAGTTTGCTGAAGCTTAAGAAAAAACACATTTAAACGCATCCCTTAAATGATTTACTGTGCTTTATGCTCACTCTGAAAGTAGTAAAAATATTCGCTTGCTAGCTCTAATGCCACTTGTGCTCTCACACACTGCCAAATCACCTGTCAACATCTGCAGCATGCAAGAGGTCCTCACACCACACACAATGAACCACCCCCACTCTGACTGAGCTGTGGGAGACCATCAAAGCCACATTTATGACACCACAGAGCAAAATTCAGGCTGTGTTTTGCCTGCAGAAATAATTCAAGTCATTGATAGATGATGTTGTGCCACTGTCTCTGAATCACCAGGACAACTACTGCCACTCAAAAAAAGGCAGCTATAAAGAGCTGTGGACATGTCATCAGTCAGTCTTTTCCTGAAAATGGAGAAGGTTAAAAAACAAAGGAAGAAAAAGTTCACAACTCAGGATAATTCCTATCGAGCTTTAAACTGGGCTCAAGTAATTGAGGCCTCTTCTATTAAACAAAATTAAAAGTCCCAGAGTTCAACAAAGTAAATTCAAAAAGGACAGAGACAAATTTTCCTGCCCTAGAAACACGGCCCTCAGACTCCCTGTTTGCTACAATATTCCTCAGCTGGCAAAATGGAAAGTTGGCAGCCACCCAACGTATTCAAACAAAACATTGTAATTAAAAGCTACTTAGGGCACCATGAACCAAAATATATGCTAATAAAAACATCATTAACTAACTTGCGAGGAGACTCTTCTTAGGGGAGGGAATCTTTGCTAATAACAACATAATTGTTGGGCATGTAAGTCCCAAAGTCTGCAACAATTCAAAGCTAATCGGGAAACGTGAGATAGGAGGGGGAAAAGTGACATTTGGGAAATACTGGTGTGGAGGGAAGGTGACTGTGAAAAAAAAAAAAAAGCGAGTTAGTTGGATAGCACACCAACACAAAGCAACCAGGTCCACAGAGACCAGTCCTTAGGCACAGAAGATAGGGGGATTTTGTTTGCCAGCTTGTTTCTTTCTAGTCAAGAAAAAGGGAAAGAAAAAAAAAAAACCAAGATAAAAGGATTAAGAAGCTCTCTCTCCTTTTATAATCATGCGCTGTGTGAATTTTTCACCACAAGCCACCTACCCCTCTCCAGGGTCCCCTCCTAAGAAGCACACTCAGCATTCACCCCCATCAGGGATACAATAGAAAAGCTTTTAATCTCCATTTTCTGCTGCATTATTGTCACTCTGCAGCATCGACTCCAAGCTTGCAGTTTCCCAGAGAAAATCATGAACAGGGAAATGAAAACTCATTAACAAGGACAAACTCATGAACAAGGATCACGGAAGTGCCACTGCTGTTGTTTCTGCCTGCATGCTCTACCATGGTTAAGCTTTGAGCTCAACTTCCATGGCATAAGTGAGGTCTCATTTAAATCTCAGCCCAGGGCTCTTCTGCTCTTCTGTAAAGGCTCCACATCAGCACATTGGCACAGCTGAGAAAGCACAGGGCACCCCAACTCCAGAGTAAGCAGAAGCCTGTTCTTGGCCTTGCATTTAGGAGAGAGAAGCCAAATGAAGGCAATGTTGAAAGAGCAGAGTCCTAAATACTGCTCTCAGACTGACAGAACTGCCAGGCTTCAGCAGTGGAACACAAAGCCTCGACAAAAATCGCAAAGAACAAGGGAAGGACAATTCTCAAAGCAGAAACAACATTCAGAAGACATTTATTAGTACACTGTGAAAACAGCAATAGGCCCAGAAGGTGGGATAGGCTGGAAATGTTGGGTCATCATTGTTGTTCAGAGGATAACCAGAAAAAATTTAACAGGGGGAGACATTTTTCTTAAATCAGAAGGAGGAAGACAAAACAAAGCAACCAAAAATCCCTGATTAAAGTAAGTAAGGTATTGAGAAGCATCATATGTTTAGCTGCAATGTAAAACAGGAATGTTCTAGGACAGCGAATGACCTGGACCAGTATGGACCTCACCTTGGGAAACCTGCACTCAACACCAATGAACTTGGTTTACTGTATCACTACACTTTCCTAGTCCTAGTGAAAGACTGGGAATATAATGTGCAAACACAGAACAAAAAGATGGTCCCTAGACTAATTCGTGATCACTAATTAATGAAAACCTTTAACATGCCGTATCTGTAATAAATTCTAAGCAATCTAACAAAATTTGTGGTGCTCCTTGCTCACCACAGTTTCACACACACACACACACAAAAAAAGGGAAAGCAGATGTTTGAAAAATGGTGAGCTAAAAAAATTGAGAGGAAACATAAGGGACTAGTTGGGAAGGATGAATTTTGTGTCCAAGAGTCAGAGAAGAGTCACAGATTTCCTGCCTCAAATGAGGCATCGTTTGTTTCAGTAGATATGTAAATATGAATACTACTATTCACCTAATTTTAGAGGGCTTTGAGAGTTCTTAGACTAAGTAGGAAAATAGGCAATCTTGATATAAGTATTAATCCAACTGAGTTTTGTTTGTAAAGTACTAAAAAGAAAAGAAAAAGCAAGGAGAGCAGGGTAGTAGAGGGAAAAGAGAGAAAATAAGCAAGGAAACTGAAACCATGGGAAAGCAAACCAAACTTTTGCTAGCTCTTGCAATAAATAGTCAGTTATCAGCTCCAGACCATGCAGAAATGGAACAAACAAGATTCAAGGGAAGGAATTAGGCTTCAAATATGTTTTTCAAGGTCCATTTTCCCATGACAAATAACTTACTGAATTGTTATGAGCCAACAGATTTCATCAGAGTCACTTTATCTCACACTGTGTATTATAAATAAAAGCACAAACATTTCCTGCAACTAAAAGTAAAAATCTTCTTTGCCCACAATTCACATACAAAGTATGGAGAACACAGTAGGATGTATCAGGACAGACATCCAGTCTGTATAAGCATCACATTTTATCCCAACCTAATGTGAGCATAGCTACAATTTCCTATGAAGAGACACTGTGCCATTTCACAAGTTTGATGTTCTAGAAGTGTGCATAGGTTTTTCCATTTCTCAAGACAAACGTGGACATTAAGAGAAACCTACAGCTCTACAGTCTAGAGTCTAGTACTGCACTACTGTCACTGAGGCTATTAAAAGGAAAAAAAAATCAACCAGACTTACATACAGTCCAGTTGAACTAATGTCCAAAAATCCGTTATGGTTTGGTTTTGAGTTTTTTGTTTTGAAAAGTCAGAGGAAAAGCTGCTCAGTCTGAGCAATTCGCTTCATAAGCTTGAGAAAAATCAAGATAAAAACCCAAAGTGGTTCAGGTGGTAATTTCTTATAATATAAATACTAAAAGCAGACACAAGCCATGCCCATATTGACTGTCCCAATCCAAGAAAACCCTGGAGTCACCACCTAAGTTCAGACCACCCAGCCCATGGGCTGCAAGTCAAAGCCTTTCCAATGCCAATGAGAGCTGCCACACACAAGCTTGGTGAAACCAGAGGGGAACTGGATGTTGCTGGGGCACTGCTCAAGCTGTCTTGGGGAAGGTGGGTGACATTTCACACCATGGTTTGGGGTTTTTTTAGGTAAGTGATATGGTCAGCCTGTCTCTGCATTTTCGCCATCCATGGAAAGGGAACCTGAATACTTGGTGCCTGCTGGCCACCTGCATTGCAGAGCATCGCAAAGATTCAGGAGGTTGATACTTACAAAGTCTTCTGAAGATGAAAGGTTTAGAAAAAGTACATCAACACATTAAGAGAGACCAGGCATGAAAGCATTCTGCAAACTAATACTCACCCGTTCCTGACCAGCTGTGTCCCAGATCAGAAATTTATGAAGCTCATTCCCACATGGCACAGTTTTAGTCATGAAGGATGCTCTGGAAATAAGGAAGACAGACATTTTTAACATAATTGACACTCTGAATATATAACCTGTAGACCTAAGTGAGTTCTTCTGGATTCGACTGCATTTGGGGAAAACTCCAAACCTTGATAAAATACCTGCAGAAGTCTCCCTTTTCTCAGAGAGGACATATGCAACTTATAGATGTACTTTTTTTAAAAGAAGGAAAAAGAAGGGAAAAGCCTCTGAAGTTCAGTTCAGTTCATGGGTCCAGGAACACAAATGTTCCTGCCACTCACACGTGGCTTCTGCTGCTTGTTAGCTCCATCTTCTTGGTGGCACAGACCTGAGAGAAAGGTAACAGACAACATTGTGTGCCACTTTTCACTTTAACATATGATACTGGATCACCAGGGAACAGAAAAGTCACCTGCTGGAGTGCACATGGCAAACAAATGCAAAAAAGTTGTTCTCCCTTTCAACTGGGATGAAGAAGTCTTCATAGTTTATTTTATTTTACAGAGGAAATTAAATAGGCCTATATTTTCAAAGTTTTTTTCTTTTAGGAAAGAAGGTTACAAATTTATAGGCTTTTTCTGTATTACAGCAGTTAATTTGAAAGCTGGTAGAGAGACTGCCAAACTCTGGCAGATTTCTATTTTTCCCATCCTATCTGGGTATTGCTGAACCATTTTTGTTGTGGTAACATTTTTCCTGGCTGATAAAGATGCATTGGATACAATGCATGGTCATTACAAAAGCACCGAATGACATCAAATGACATATGACTGAACAAAACATTTCCTGAGAATGATATAGCAGAGTTCTCCCCTACAGCCATCTGCAAATTGCTTGAATTTAACAATGCTGCATTGTTTATGAAAATACTAACTAAGGGAAAAAAAAAAAAAAAAAAAGGCAGCATTTCTTTGGTTGTTTTCAGTGTGTGTTCACTCAGTTGTCACATTCCTTCCCAAACCAACAAGCAACACTTCACAGCTTCAAAAAAGGGAAATTTACAGATCCACAGTGGTTACTGTTGATTCAAGGATTATATATTTGAAATAGTTGAATAATTTGAAAGAAAAAAACACTTATCTGTGCAGACAAATAATATCACCTGTGTGAAGCTAGCTAGCTATCTTTTAATCTCCCAATGGAAAAAACAAAATCCATTTAGTTTTCATAATTATGGTAAGAGAGGAAAATTGTTTTCCAAATTGAGCAGAAGGCATTTACTTAGCAACAACAACTACTTGGGGAAAAAGGCTGCTAATGGTTTAGAAGTAAGAAAAACCCACTCAAGTTGCCATCAATTCTTTCACTGCAAACAAGTCTTCAGACAGTAATTTTATTCATGACATGCTTCCTTTCTCTCTGTCCATTTTTCTCTATTCTCATTCAGGAATCCAAAATTGTCCTGGAACTTCTACATGCAGCTTCCAGCTGAGACTCCTCCATGCACTGAAAGGCAGAGCTTCAGAAGGTACTGTCCAACCCTCTGAACTACACACAGCAATCAATACCAATCCTTCACAGATGACTTAAAACACCTCTGACACACATGCCAGATCAGCCCTTTCCCCCCAGATTACTCCTTTCTGTACATTCCGTAATAGCTTCCTTTCCCACAAGAGATCCATAACTTCAAAAATTTTCCAAGTCGCATTGGACTTGGAAAATCTGTCCCTGAGATATTAAAAGAAAAAGAAAAATCTGACTTAAAATCTACTACAGGACTATTAGGATTCTGATGGTATGATACAAGGAAGCCTAGCAGTTTTTAAAGAAGTGATATAAATTAATTATACTTAGTTTAAATTGCATTGCTCCTATTTTAACAAAGGAAAATGGGACACATCCTAAACTTAGACAAAAGCACATCCATATGGGGAAACAGACACTGTCCATGTTCCAGCCTAGCCTACCAGGATACTCAACAAAAGTATTTTAAGGGCTTCTCATGGTCTTCCTGCCATTACTAAACTATGGGATGACCTGATCATTGTGCAGGTCACAGCCTCTTGGGTTGTGGGGTTTTGGTTTTTGTCTTGACAAGAGCTTCCCATTTTAGACTGTTTTGGATGTAGGACCTCTGGACTTAAATCACTCAAGGGTCAGATTTGAAACCTCACTGACCAGTGAAAAGCAAAGTGGTATTTTGTGTGGTACTTACCCAATAGTAGGACTAATATTATGATCAAAGTGGTCCTGGACAAACCGACAAACGATGCTCGATTTCCCAACCCCAGTATCCTGAAAATCAAAGAAAGCATGACAGTGAGTCAATGAACTCATATCCAGGAGACCCTAGATGTCAATACTCCACTTGATTTATTTTCAAGAATTAATATTTGACTCTTTCTTCTTGTCCTGTGGCAAGCAGGGCACGTTACACATTTCAGAAGAAAACTAAGGACATGGCTTATCCATTTCAAACATCAGCATTACAAGTGAATCTCCCTGGCCCTCTTCCCAGGACTCCCTTCTCTCCAAGCCCTCTATTTTATTTTATTATAGTGGATTTATATTCCTGTTGCAAGGACTGCAGTCCATCCAGAAGAGCCATTTACTTGTACAAGCAAACCCTGTGCTTTCCAACACATGGTGCATTACACAGCAGAGCCAGAGAAACAATTTCATTCAGGCCTGTTGCACAGCCAGCCCAAGCAAGCTTCCAAAACAGAATAATACCAACATTTTAGCACACTGACAGCACTGACTTAGTGAAAATAACCTTTTCATGGCAAGACAAACTACCACTTAGTGGAAACTTTGCAGAGGTTTTGGGTGGTTTTGAAAGGGTAGGAATGCAAAGATCTGGATCCCCAGAGATGGGCAGCTCTCCCTGCGTGTGCCATGCTAGAGGTCTGCACTGCATTACTTTAAAGGCAACACAGCTTACTTTCTACACTGCAACATGGCAGGCTGATTCCATTTGCAGGAAGAGTCTTTTTTTTTTTTCTTTCAACATACCAAATCAGCAGGGAAAAATAACAGCAGTACAATACTGAAATAAAATTCAAAATAACCTGAAGCGGCAGGAGAAAATTTGAAATTATACAGAAATATTATTTGGGTATCTAAGATATAAACAACTTCCCAAAAATGCAACATTTTTCAGTCTGTCTGTTTTTGCCAAAAGCCTTGGATGGTAGGTAGAACTTAAATTATACAGGGAATTATCAAGGAAGAGGAGTAACATTATCACTGTGTCTTCCACAGAATTGCGAAGAGCCTCCTTAGAGACAAAAAGGATGCCAGGAAATCAATACTGACCTTTCCAAGGCATTAACAATGACAGCCCAGGGTCCAATCTAACTCATTAAACAGTCAATGGAAAGTTTTCTATTAATTTCATTGAAGTGATTGCAGACCATTTGTAGTTAGCTCCATAGCTCCATTTGTATCCACATTTTAAGATGACTAATTTACACAACACTCTTGAAAAATGCCAAGATAAGACAATACAGTTTGTTAACAGCACGACGCACATAACTATATATTAAAGAAATAGAAAAGCAGCTTTTGCCCACACATAACTTCGTATTAAAAATAGCACTTCTGCCTCTCCTATAATCAGTTTTGCAATATGTTATCTACTTTTTGAGTAAGAAAGAAAAAGAATGCCTGTATTTACATTTCCTTCCACCATGCTTACGTGAAACTGTATTGTCACGCCAGTCTTTATAGACAGCACTTATTAGAAAACCATCATTTAAACTCTCATATTTAATTCAAAGCTGTCCTTAGTCAGCTTAAAAGCCATAATAAATGCTCATGTTGCACAGACAGTTGTTTGTATCTACTCTGCTCAATCAATAAGAAAAAAAGACCAAAGAGAGGAGCAGTGTTTAAAAACAGCCCTGTAGCCTTTGATCAATAGCAGTAACACATCCTGTTACTATTCCCAAATTTTGCCTTCATTATCGATTCTAGCTGACATCACTGTATAATTACTACACCAGGATAGCAGAACAAGCTAAAAAAAAAAACAAAAAAAAAAAAAAAAAAAAAAAAAACCAAAAAAAAAAAAAAAAAAAAAAAAAAACCCAAACCAATTAAAAAACCCTTCTGCCCTGAAATTGAGGACCTAATTATTTTTCCAGATTTTAAGTGGTGTAGAGAAACTAGAATTACCACCCACTGGTTGCAAAGAATTAAATTTCTCTCTTGTGGGGACAGCATTTCTGCCACGGTGTTCAGAACTAGACATTGACTCTGGTGACCCGATGATGCTTCAGTTTCATCTGCTTCCTCCAGCTCCCCTGAGGAGTCACCCAGAATGCAACTGCAATTACAAGAGGAGCCAGGGTCTCTGGCAGGGACGTGACATCCAAAAAACCCCTCTGCCCTGAAATTGAGGATCTAATTATTTTTCCAGATTTTAAGTGGTGTAGAGAAACTAGAATTACCACCCACTGGTTGCAAGGAATTAAATTTCTCTCTTGTGGGGACAGCATTTCTGCCACGGTGTTCAGAACTAGACATTGACTCTGGTGACCCGATGATGCTTCAGTTTCATCTGCTTCCTCCAGCTCCCCTGAGGAGTCACCCAGAATGCAACTGCAATTACAAGAGGAGCCAGGGTCTCTGGCAGGGACGTGACATCCACAAGCATGGATTACAGCTTAGCTCATTTTCCTGGAACCTCTTCATCTTTCAGTTCGTGGCTCTTACTAATGTTTCATGATAACATTAAAAGGACCTTTCAAAGTTTCTATTGCTTTCACATCTCACAATGAGCACAGTCAAACTTATGCCAGGCACACCAACAGCCCTCCAGAAGCTTAAAGGCATTCTTACACTCTGATCCTGGGATTGCTTGCCCTACCAAGAGGGCTAAATATCCCCTCGAGTAACTGGAGTGAAACCAATGGACTCGGACCACAAGTGAACCTGTTCCTAGGACGAGCGCTGCTGCAGCCAGTGGCTGGTGCTTTCCAGGAGCCAGGCACCTTATTGCCTGGGGGGTTCAGTTGAAACAAGCACTCCCAGCTTCCCTTTTGTTGCCTGGACGATGCAAACCACCAGAGTATAATTAGAGCACAGAGGAAGGAAGTAAAATAGAAAAAGCTTCCTACTTAAGGCAGTGATTATCATTCCATCATGGGATTTAAAACTACCTAGACAGTCCCTGTCACAGAAAACTGTACTGACATCCATCAATCAAGACATTCATCTGCCTGAAAGCAAAGCAAATCATGGCATATGAACATTATACAACAACTTGAAAACAGCTAGAGACCTTAACTTTTACCAACAACAGGGAACTATCTTTCAAGTCTCTCACAGACGACAAGGAAAGCAGAGTTGTTGTTTCGGAGAAGCAGAAAAAATGTCTTTTTCTCATCAGTGCATTGATATTGAACCTCCCTGCTAAGGCTGTACAAACCTTTCCTGCAACCATTTGCTTTGTACTTTACTACACAGTCCTTCTCTACACAAACCTATTTTTCTAACATCTGATGGGGATGATCTCCCTTGTTTTGTTCTTTTTTCTTCAAAGGATTATAGCAGATTTATCAAGCCACGTGCCTGGGTAACATTCAGGCATACAGAAGATTTATTTTTCCAGTTCTCAGAGTTCCTTTATTACACCCTCTAATCTGTTTTTCTGTTTTGTTTTACTTGATGTTGGTGTACCTATAACATCAAATATACACAAAGGTATAACACCTTGGCTTATGCAAAAGGTGAAGGTGGCACTGAGCAGAGTGGATTGGATAAGTTTCAGAAACTGAGAACATGCACTCGGGAGTTATGTTGCACTTCAAGGAACAGATCCTGCTATTCTTTGGAAAAACCCTCATTCACAGGAAACCCAAGGGCTTCAGCACTACAGTCACTGACTCATGACGATCAAGAGCATACCAATCCAGGAAACAAGTAGCAAGAAGTGAATAAATATAAAATAATTATTATAGTTATTGAGAATCATGGTGTTCACAAATCACTCAAGGAACCAGCTACAGGTTTCCCTTTATTCTTTTTCTTCTTCATAAGCCTCCTAGCACACTTACAAAATATCAGTTATAAACCACATTGTAGCAAGATAAGCAAAGTGGGTGGGGTAGGGAGGAAGGAAAGAAGCAGAAATGTAATTCACAGTTAAGTGAGCCACTATTAGTTTGCCAGAATAAGTAGCTACAGCTTCAGAATGTCCCCTGGTCAGCAAAATGGATTAAAAAATCTGAAACTGTATCAGACTTTTCTGATAAATACAAGGAACCAATGTAAGCATGACTAATTCCAGACTTTTACCCTTTAACCCCGGAAAACGCATTCTCTGTTCTTCCAAAATCCCTTAGCAGCAGGTTTAGGTGTGAGGATTTTAAGAGCACCAGAATGGAGAGCAGAATGCCACAGAAAACAGTGTCTCCACCCCCACTCCTGCTCCCAGGGAACCACCCCACTTGGCTCTCATTACTGTAAAGGAGATGAGACTGTATTTCAGGCTAGCAGCATTGCAGGATGCTGGCAACTCATTTGTAGGCAAGCAACAACTGAGCTGCTTCTGGCTGATTTGCAGCAGCTTACAGGGAGATAAAAAAAAAATAAAGCAGAAAAAATATGAGCAATATATTAAAAAAGAAAACCATTTTCCCATTACAAATAGGCATTTGGTATATTCCTCTGTCTATTGTTCCAAACACATTTGTCCCAGCAGAAAAAGCTAATGCACAAAAATTTAGTTCTTTAATTTAAATCTGGATGTCCCATTTATACCTTTGCACATAGGGCCTGGTCCTCCAAGCACTTTTCCAAACTGGAGGGAGCTATAGTACCCTGTAAACACGTCCCTGATTAGGCTGTTAGTCTGTAGCCTTCATATTATAATAGCTTTTAACAGATTGAGGGTCCAGCTCTATTGTGCAGAGTAACTAATCTCTTCATGTAAATTTTTTTTTACATCTGAAATCGAATAAATGTTGGATTCTCAAAAAAAAACAAATCCACACATATCATGACTGATGACTAAACAGCAGCCCTATAATCATGCACAATGCTGCAAGAGCTTTTTTAGTCTCGACTATGCAGAGTCTTTCTCTGCTATGTTAATACACAGGGTTTCCTAAGTATGTGTAAAATTAGATAAACCATACAAAAATCCTTTATGACTCTAGGAACTTGAAAATACAAACAAAACAAGAACACTAGACAGCACGTCACAGGAGGAAATGGCACCCTAAGAATGAACACACTGAAGAAACTGCCTTCTGTCCTCCTACTTGCAAAGTAAGGACAAAAAAAAA